TACACATTTATGCTGCCGATAGATGCTGCCTCACCAGAAAATTGTCAAGCCTCGACTATTTCATTCGTTTACGTATTTATCAGTCACTAGTAATCCAGTTTCAATATTGTATAACTGTATTTTTGAGCTCACACGTTTTCGTGACGACCTCTTTCTAGAAAAAATACAGAAGGCCTTCACTAATATGGCAATGAATTTTAACATTTATCTTATAAAAAATACTGCCTATTCCTCCAACATTATTTTATGCTCCCACTTTATGCATTACTACACTCCTTAAGTTTGTTCCACTTAACACGGCCCGTAATATTTTAAATCGTTGATTATTCAAACCACAGACTCTTTAATATAATAAAACGATTAGTTGGTTGTCATTTTATCTAGCTGGAGATCTTATTAGTTTAGAAAAAAAATGATACATCTCATTTCGAACTTAACAGACAATCAAAAGATACACAAGCACAAAAAGACATCGGAGGATAGACACACATATAAGAGATGCACATAAATTGAAGCGGATCTGAATAGATATTGAGAGCTTAAGAATATATATGAAGTTAACGATGGATATAGACGATTCGACATGTATACATGTGTTTCAAATAAATATAAGTTTTAAGACTTACATAAGTATAAAGTGTTCAGATAATTCGCAAAAGAGATTTGACGATCGGTGTCGCCTTAACAAAACAATCCTGTTCTGTTTTCAGACTTCAGCTGAATATATATATCTACCAATAGCTGGTATTAAAAAGATAACTGTTTGTATTATACTCATGCTCAACTAACACGAATGCTGAAGTATTCACCCTGAGGGTGTGGGTGCGGGTGTTATTCTCTCCTGGATTGGTGTAAGACCCACACCCTCAAGGAAAATCAAGCAAACTTATTCTGCTTTTCAGCTAAAGTACTTGATCACACCGAAGAAAACTACTACCCACTCCCCCACCATAAAAAACCCTGTGTCTTCTATTATGTTCCAGCGTAAGAATTTTCCATGGGGATCTTATATTAAGAACCGCATTTTTTCCTAATATTTAATTTAAAAGGTTTTCCAGAAAACTAAGGCGATTTTCGAGATTTCCATCAGGATTTTCAGGGTTTTAAGAGTGTCATTATAATTTTGAACACACTCTGCTAATATTTCCCGCTTAAAATGCTAAAAATCCGGCATATTTCGATGGAAAAACGCTAATTAAAGTTCGTAAGTAGCAAAAATTAATTAATTAAACGGGAGCATTCTATTATGTCGGACAAACTTTTTCGTCAGGGGGGTCTTCTAAAATGGGGTGGGGATTTTGTAAAGACAATGAGCGTGAAAAACTTAACTAAATCATTTATTTTTATGTGCAAACAGTTTTGTGGTAGCAAGGAATTCTAAAGCTTTTCCTTTGGGATAAGTAATCGGTTTTAGATTCTAACATTTTCGCTTTTACTAAGTACACTGAAAACAAAAAAAATTACTTTACTGAACTTTGAAGGCTTCGTAGAGTCACACGAAACTGTGTTCAAGTTTTTACCGAAATTGAAAAGGTTTCGTGTGACTCTACGAAACCTTCAAAGTTCGGTACAGTATCGTAAAAAGGTTCAGAATTCATTTCAAAATTCGAAACCTGTTTAAGTTCGGTAAAGTACCTTTTTTGTTTTCAGTGTACCGCCTTATAAATTTCAAACATACACTAGGACAGTAAAGAATTAAATTCTCGGCAATGTAAGACCTCTTTCAGCTTTCTAAGTTCGACTGTTCGAAAGTTAAAAGGAAAATACGTTTGATCGATAGATATCGCTTTTTTTCTCATGTGACTTATTGTAATTTAAATTAATACACTGCGCTGAAGGTATTCTGAACACGCCGAATTTTGTGGATGTGGTAAAGAATTACGGAAGGTCTCATCTTGTAGAGCATTTAATTCTCTGCGATTCTGATGTATTTTTGAAAACTTGCTGGCGGTTTTCACCGAAAACAATGTTGAAATCTAAAACCGATGACTCACCAGAAAAAAATTCTTAAAATTCCTTGCTGCAACAGAATTGTTAGGACATAAAAAAATGCGGTTCGGTTTAGTTTTTCACGCCCATTGCCTTGTATTAGTTGATATTGAAAGTGATTGCATAAATCATTTTGCAATCACATCCTTAGCTGAGATTCAGAAAAAAGAAGTTTTAATGCAGATTTGATCACAAATCGTTTGTTCGTAGATGAAAATGTTTTTCAAAATGTAAAACGTACAATTCTACGTCGATTGATATTTGTTTCGATTTTTGAATCAAAATCACTTGGTCAAAACAATGCGAAATACTAAAAAGCGTGCTATAATTATGTTCTCTACGAAATTATTGTTTTCCTCGTAGTTTATTCAAAATGTACGTGATTTTGAAGCTTTTTTCAGGTAAATAGTTTTTAAGATGATGCATATAATGGTGAAAAAATCAGTCTCTAGCCATAAATATGGCTCAGCTATAACAAAAAAGAAAATGTGTTAGAATTAAATCCAGCACTTTATATTAATATCATTTCGAAAGAAAGCAGGCGTGTTTTGAAATGCATTCTGAGGGGTAAAGTAATGAGTTGGAATGGTCTGCAGCAGAATGTGTATTGGGATCCTATTGGACAAGAATGTGGGTATGCGTTATAATAGTTTATTTGTTCTTTTGTGAAATTCTCATCCAATCAATTTGAGTTTGATAAAACCAAAACGAAAAGTAAATGTTTATAACTGGTGTTTCTCGGTACGCTCGATTTCATCAGTGTGAGATGGTATTTCTTTGAATTGTTATATATGGTGAGACGCTAGTCAAGTCATTTGTGGGGCACGAAGTAAATAGGCAAGCCTGCAAAATATAATTATATGGGGCACAGCCATGCAACATCCATATTTTTTCTTACTTGAATATATTTGAAGAGGAAAAACTGGCTTATATGCCTACATTTAAAAGATAAAGCAATGCCTTGTTGATGGTCTGTCGTAAAAATAGTTATCTATGAAGCTAAAACTCAATACTGTATTTCAATAATATCAAAAATTGATATATAAAGCATAGTTCTATTTATTACTCCCATTGTTTCATAATACAGAGTTTGATGAATCAATTTTTGAAGACGAAAAGGGCAACGACAGATCAGGTATGATCATACATGACCAGACAAGATCTGCATTACGTACTACTGTATGCTTCTTTTGCTTCGGAATCTTATTTGAGCTGATAGGGTCTGACAAGAATCACCCGGTCGGCTCATGTATGTTTCTTAAGCTTAGAATCTTGTAAGATTTATGAGGGTATCTTTCGTTCAGAATCTGATGAAATCTTTCGAAAAATGATGTAATAAGATCCGGCCTGATCTTATGATAAGATCAGATAGAAAATCTTGTATGTGCAAGATCTGGCAAGGCCTTGTACGATCTGTTGTCAGATTTTTGACCTGGGTATATCGATATAGACATCATCCCAGTGTAGATCCTAACAGATCTTTCGATCTGATCTGATCTGTTCTAACAGTTCTTTCGCTCATTTGATCTGAAGTTAGATCTGAGAACTGTTACACCCCTAGTCCTTTGGTCCCGGTCCCGGTGGAAATTTCCCTTTTGCTCCTGGTCCCGGTGACAATCTGTTTTTTAGTCCTGGCTCAGTTAACACATTCGCCACCATGTGGTCCAACAGTGAGTCACGTTATATTTTAACGATAAAATGTACAGAAAAGTACTTTATTTTTCTTTGTTCTTAGACAGGAGGTTGAACATATGTTTTATCTATTCTGCCCTCAGAACTCTTTCTGAGTCCTTTATTCCAAAGCATGATGCTTCTTCTTAAAACAATCAAGACAAAAAATATTAGTCAGAACAGAACTTTTTATTTTCTTTGCTACCACATTGCTCGCTTCTCTTGACTGCTGTGCCCTTCTTTTCGCAAAGCAGCCAGTTCAGCGTCTGCCGACATTGCGCGTAGATCCTTCCTATTCTTCGAGTTTGCGATTAGTGAATTCACGCTTGAAATGAGTTGTCGATTCAACTTCTCGAATGTCATGTCATGCAGAAATGATCCCACAGGACTTTCGCCAAACTGCAGAGTGGTTACTTTGCTTCATGTGATGTTACAAACGGAAAAGAAAAAACGACAGATCAGCATAGAATGAAAAGACCAAGAAGTGCATTTATCGAAATATGAATGCACACGAAAATGAATCTGAAAAGGTACTCTTTAAGAAAACCGAACCGTGTCGAATGTGTTAAATTTGGTTTTTGTTCTACTCCCACTGTTAGCTCTCGTTTTGGGTTTTATGTAGCAACAGTAGAACTAATATTTAGTCTGCCAAAAATAAAGAGCTAAACATGTTTCAATAATCGACTTTGTCGTCGTGTCATATATAGAATATATTGAGTATCGAGTGATCGAAACGATAGAACATCAGCAACTGCGCAATAACGAAAGACAAAAAGATAATCACAAGATGAATCATAGTTGAGAAATTACGTAATAAATCAAATTAGAGATTCGAAAATAGATAACATACAAGAAACGTTTAGCGTCAGTAAGCACCATCTACTGCCGCTAACACCCAGTCTTGATAACCTTAATTTGTCCGTTATTTGCCCATAGTCAGATAAGTTGTTGCAGACTCTGCCGATTTTTAGATCTGGCATAGTTCTCACTCGTATTTCCGGTGTTTCTTGCCCAAGGCGGACATGACCAGGACTAAAATATTCTTCGGTCCTAGTACCGGTCCCGGTAAAATTCTATTTTTGGTCACGGTCTTGCACATCTCTAATCCACACCCACACCCACACCCACAAAATTGTGGTGGGTGTGAGTATGAACTATGTGTTCTACTACACCCACAGTCACACTCCTTTTCTGCAAAAGTAAATTCTGTCAGATATAATAGTTTCTTCTATTCCATCATATAATCACCAGTATTTTAGCAGCTGTTAAACAATTTAGAATTGATTCTGATAGTTTGACTTATAGATAATTCAAGCAATTCCTGCAGAGCCTCCATCTTCATGAATGGTGATCAGGAACAAACAACTGATCAATCACACATAACATTCATCCATGACACATTCCAAAATATTCGAGGAACTTTGTCGCAAGATTACTTTGACAGAGAAATCGAGTCTGTTCTCGATCGTTTTGCATTCAACATTGTGATTATGGGTTCTCCGAGAGTTGGCAAAAGCGAATTGATCAATGCATTATGTGGAGGTTCTCCTGTTGCACAAACGAGCTCAAGTCTTGACTCGTGTACACAAGAATTTAAAAAATACGTTCTTACATATCCTCAACCCCAACTAAAAGGGTTTCCGTCAATCGAGATCAATATCTTTGATACACCTGGTGTCGAGTCATGGGATGACAAAAAAGGTGAACAAGAATTTCTGAAATTCATTGATAAAAGTGTTCCAATATGTGTGATTTACTGTGCTTCTCCAGGCTGCTTTTCACCACTGGGACCGCTTCGTTTTCTGTTAGAACATTGTCGAGAGAAACATATTATTTGCGCTCTGATTTGTACAAATATGTGGTCAAACAACAACCGAAATACAGTTATCGAAGAATTCAAAAAGGAGTTAGAAATATTTGGGATTAAAACAGAGAAAAACTTTGAACAGGATCACCCAGGTAGGCCACACAAAGTCACATTTTTTGGTAATAATGCTCTTTGTGCAATGGTGAACTCGATCGAATATGTTGATCAAGAAATGGACGTTAGTAAACCTGTACAAGGTGTGGATGAGCTCATAGCAAGCATCATGGGATTATTAGATAGCACGAAAATGATTGCATGGTGTATAACTGTTCTTAATCGCCGAAGTTTTTGGGAGAAAATTAGTCATCAAACGAATGGATTTCTTGAATTGCGCTTCATGGAACTGCAAAATATGAAAGAAAAATCTGCTTCTGAAATTGCGCACTATATTTTGCACACTGCTATAAAGACATACTTGAATTTACGATGAATCACACACAGAGTAATACACGCATGACAGTTTGCAGATTCTATTTCTATTCTAGTGTTTGTATTAAACTAAATAGTTTGAGGTCTACTTTTAGATAAATATTCTCGCATTATCATGGATGCGGAGTTTAGCATTGTTGTAAGTGGTTGATCGCGTTTAGGCAAGATCACACTCGCTAACACTTTAAGTGAAAAGCTTGTTGCCAAAACAAGTCGAAATTTGAACTCTTGTATACTGTCTGGCTCAAAAATCACTTTATCGTGAAACAATATAATATATAATTAGACTACAACTCGGCGAAACGTGTTCATATGTTTTATCAGGGTTAGAGACATGTTCATACCACAAATCCATGCGGGCAAGGTTAGTGAGAGCTTTTGTTGAGTATTAGCATTGATGTCAAGGGTATGGCTGGGATCCCTTTAGTTATAACCACAACCACACTTTGCACACGCCACACCCTGAGGGTGCGTGGATGTGGGTGTGGATGTAAGTATGGATGTGAGTATGGGTGGACCAGGCAACGAGCATCACTCACACCCACACTCTTATGTCTCGCTTAAATCGTATACCACTGTCTTGAACAATAATTTCTGCGATCCATTGCGAATAATAAATTCTGATCTTCCGAGTTTTTACATCATATGATCCATAAAATCTGCCAACTTCCTAAAGTTTTCTTAACAGTTTGTTTTATACAGTTCAAAAATGAACAATGAATGGACTAATATTTCGTCGTTTATCTATGACTCCATATTCATTTTATTACTCATCACTATTTAAATTGCTGTTATCTATATCTGATAGTTTTATTTTCTCATATACCTTAAGGCTCTCTACCCTATAATAAATGTTTCATGGTAAAGCTTGTTAGCGCAGTCCCTTTGGGGCTAAAATATGGAACTCACATATGATTTTTCGCGTAATTTACTTATGCACAATGTGTGGTGCGAAATTTTCTGCAAGAAAATCGACCGGTAGAAAAAAATGTCTTATTTGGTTTTTGCATGCTTGCCAGTATCTGTAATGCAAGGCAGTGTAAGGGGTATACACTGAAAAAAAATCCGCAGAATAATGAACGCTTGTCCTTGTTTTTTTTAGTAGCAAACCCTCAAAGGATTTATTGGCATGGTATCAACCCTTTCAATGGTTGATTAACACTAGGGTTTATTATCAATAGGGTTTATTAGTCTTAAATGAGTTTATTAGAATTTTTGAAAGGTATGTTAGAACTGATTCA